TTTTAACTTTTAACTTTTACAAAAACTTTATTGAGAATTTCATACATGCATATGAGGTGTGTTTTGATCAAATCCATGGCCACTCCCTCCCTTCTAATACCTCCCATATCTCCCCATCACTTTTTTCTTTTTCTTCTTTCGTTTATTTATTTTTATGGGGCTTTGACTACTCTAACTTTTCCCTCTCTGAAGAAGTAACCCTAAAATCTTTCAAGGATTAGATACAAGTTCCCAAATACTTTTGACATTTTTGGCCTTTGGAACGGAGTATGCTGCTAACAGTCCAAAGAACATTTTGACTTTTAACCAAGAAACTGGCTACTTTTCTTTGGGTCTTTTTGCCCTAACTGCCTAGCCAATTCCTACCTCCTATTCTTATCATACATCAAATTTTCAATCATTGAATACTGTTCATAGGCCTTTGGTAGAGTCCTGTGCTTAGTGAGGTTCATGTATCCATTCCATCCTGAGCACCTACTAATAACTAAGCACTGGGTTGTCCTTGTGAGCTGAAATGGACATGGTCTCTGCTTTTAGCCTGGAGAGGTCTCTGCTTGTAGCCTGTCAGCAGAGGGACTGGAGGGAAAACAGCAGCTTCATGAGAACTTCAGTGGAGGGAGTATGGGGCTACAGAACCAGGAAAGCCTACCCTTGTTGGGACCTCACCATTGGCAGCACCGTTTGGTATTTATGGGTTTTACATCAGAGGGTGATAAAATTTATGTGTCCAGAATCTCACTCTCAGTGCTAAGTAGAAAGTAGAAAACAGGGCCAACAGGGTGTGTGTCATTAGTGAGGAGGCATGTAGGGAGGAGTTGTGGTCTCTGTACCAGTATGGTGAAAAGTACATAAGGAAATGTAAGGACCTTCGGAGGTGTCAGGAGGTCAGGATGGTCGAACATAGGTGCTGTCAGTCTGTGGTGAAGGACACTGGAGGGACTGGAAGGTTGGAGGATGCCGCTTGTTATGATGAGGAAAAGGACTGGCCTGGGACCACACTGGAAGGATGGGAGGATTCCAAGTTGCTTTGGAGGAAGCCAAGTCAAGCTGCCAAATGTACACTGGATATGTTTCTGCAGCTCAGAGGAATCACCCAACCTGTAAAGATCTGAGCTTATCTGCCTCTGTGCCTGTGCTTCTGTATCAAGACTTCCAGCTGCCACATCCTACCACATCCATCCCTGAGTCCTGATCTGTCCTCTGTATCTTAGCTAGAGGCACCTGCTTCCTGGGGACCTGAAACCTCCTAGGCATCTTTTGTCACTGAGCTCTCAGTCTTCTCTGACAGCAAAAGGCTTGTTCTCTCCTCCTGTGGCTCCTATTACTCGGACCTCGGTTGGCAAACTGCATGTCTGCCAACCAGCATTTTTATAATATGCCTCTGCCTACCAGCACCTAGCCCAATTACCTATGGGTAGATATTATCACAACCCATATTGGGTTCATTCTATGTGTATATACTCCTGTGTGCATGTGTACTTTATGTAAAATGGATTCCTTAAGGCTCACTCTGTTGTTGCCTACCTCCGTGGTAGCTTGACTGTTGGCTGACTGCTGGGCACATTCAGACAGTATTCTTCATGAAAAAATGGCTATGGCACTACTACTTGATCCTGGTTAGTAGCAAGCACCAAATTCCAAGGGAGGGTTACCAGATGCTGAAACTGGAAAATCGCTCCTCGATGAGCTTGTTTGACTGAAGATGAAAAAATTAATTAATTTTTAAAAATTCATGATGACTGTGTCAGAGGCAGGTATTTATGCCATAAATTGACACAGCTTGGCCTAAGGGGAAAGAAAAAGGTGAATTTACAGGGTTTCTCCCATCAAGAGGAGCAGGGTATGGCCACTGACCATGAGAGGGCAGTGGTAACTGATGTAGAAAAAGTAAGAGTTTCTCCCCTAATGTTTCCATCGACCACTCATACCTTAACATGAGATTTGGAGAATTTATTATAATAGAAACTATAGATCATGCTCCCCGAAGGTTTCTTTAAATTCATTAAATTGTACATGCCCCTGATAAAACATACTGAAAGATCCCATCCCACATAGACACTGGTCTTGTTCTTTTGTCTTTAGAAGAAGCTGGTAGGTACCAAAGTTGTGTACTAGCATTTGCATGTATTTGATACATTGAAAGATTAACTTAGGTGCTCATGACCAGTTTCTCATTGAGTGTTTGTTGTGACCTCCTTAGTTAAGCTGTTACATTGTTGCTGACTTGTCGGAGATATTTTAACTACCTATTCTAACATCTTGGATTCCCTACTTCTGGTTTCACACTTTTAGTTTACTAAAACACACTGACATGTGCCGTTTTCCAGAGGACTGTTGAACAGAAATCACCCTTTGTATCCCTTTTTTGTGATCAGCAGGAGCCCACAGCACAGCACCCCCCTCCCCAGAGGTTCCGAGAGGAGCACGTGGAGGGCTAGTGAGGCCATGGCAGCTCTGTGCTCCCACCAAAGCTTCAGCAATGCCTCTGGCCACAAGAACCATGACACTTTCTTTATGCTTTTAAAGTCAAGGAAGTGAATATAAGGCTTCTTCCCTTACCTTAAAGAGCTTCTTACAGCACTTTGTAAAACTATTAGTCCAGCTGTCAACTTTTTACTCTTTATTTTACAGGCCTGAAAGCAAAAAGAACCCAATAACCAACTTAAAGTCAAATGGTAAGAAATAACCAGACACCGATTTTCCTTTCTTATTTTAACCAAGAGGTGTTTGGACATATATTAGTCTTATATGTCCTTGTATAAGGAGATAAGGACTGTGACATGTCCTGAGAGCCCAGGGACAGCCTTACCTATGGGTAGGACCTACAGGCTTCTCAAGACACCGGTCTTCAGTGACAGGACCATGAAAGTACCACAGGCCACAGTGACAGTACAGTTTCATTTCGAACTGATTACCAGTTTTGGTGCTTTTCTACCTATAGAGTGCTGCTCCATTCCCTCCCTGCCCTCACAGCACAAGTACTGGGTAGGGCTCTTATAGCAGCTGTAACTGGTTTCCTTACATCCAGTCCCTCCCAGCCCCTGACTATCCCTACCTGGTCACTAGCATCTAAAACCTTATTTGCCCTCTTCACTTGCTACTGAAAAATTGCCAGTGCCTCCCACTACCTGTAAAATCTAAACTTTCTCCAGTGGTATGGCCTCATCCCTAGTTCCAGGTCCTTCCTGTCAAGACCCTACCTTTTTGGGCCCTCACTATTTTCCTGCCTCTGTGCCTTTGCTTATGCTGTTCCTTTTTTATGAAGTTCTTTTCCCTTCCTCTCGCTCCTTTGAGCTCATCTTTAACCTTCAACAATCCAGCCCTCAGTGGGGCTCTAGCCCTCATTCCACAGTAATACCCGAGACACTTCCCTCCCATGACTGGGCTTTCTACTCTGTGCTCCCTCCCGTACTCCCACCCCCACTTGTGACAGTGGAGAGCACAAGTCTGAGTCAAATGAGCTGAGTAGAACTTAGCTAGACCACAACTTACACTACAGTTGTGAGCAGGTGCTTAACTCATTCAACCTTGGTTGACTCAATAATGTACAGACATTAACACCACCCTTACTAGACTGGTGCAAAGATCAAATGGGGTCATACACAGGAAGCCAGCAAAGAGCCCCCAGGTCCTTCTCTACAAATGCTAGCTTTCAGACTGTCAAGGCAGGCGATCCTGTGGGTGACTCACCACATCCTGTCAGCTGCCAAGAGGTCACCTTAGCTTCAACTTATAGGTGTGCCTGTGGCCTTCTACCTGAGGCAGTTGTGTCTCTGCCTCAGGGCTTTTCCTGGCCATATGAGTATGTTCAGCCCTCACAGAGCAGCTAGGGCACCAGAGAGTTGATGCCCAGGGTTGGGAGACCATGGATCAGTAACCCATCACTCTTCATTGAGACAACATGAGGAAAGTTCTCCAGTCTCCAAGGATCTGCAGCTATCCACTGCCAGCACCCACAGTTCTCATTGCTTTCTCTATCCCTGGGTCGCTCTTCCATTTCCCTCACCGTGGTTACTAAGATCACCCCCTAGATAAGTGCTACATACCCAGGCCCTGCCTTCAGCTAACCATGGCTGCTATTCCTCCTCCGTGTTTTCCTCTTGTCCACTCTATTCTTTAAAAAACAGAAGGGGATAAAAGTGAAGAAGCAATCAAGGTGAATGGTATCAGTCCAAGAAAACTAGATTTTAATCTGTATTCTTTAATAAAGAATTAGACATAGTGAGTTCCAGGCCAGCTGGGGTTACAGGGAGACCCTGTCCCAAACAAACAAAAAAGAATTAGACAAAATGAAAGAGGAAAGCCCATATTCTGCAAAGATAGTTCTGCAACAATGCAAAGAACATTTGTGCAGGTCACACGTGCCTGTTAGACCTTCAGCAGGCCAGTGCTCCAACTAGCCAGTCCCACATTGCTGTTTTGAAAAACCCATAATCAGAGTGCAAAACTGTTAACAAGCTATGTGTTTTCTCTTCCAGCCTACTGGGGGGAGTCTGAAGACAGTAACTCAGAAATCGAAGCTGCTCTACGACCCAAAAACCACAACACATCCACCGATGACTTTGATGATTTTTATGACACATAAGTTATAGCATTTGCTGGGAATAAAGTCTTTAAACAAACTGACATTGTGTTTACATGTAATGTCCAACATAAATACGTCTTTTTAAATTTTCTAGTACCGTTCAAATGAAATTGCATGATAGAAATATGAGCAGGCAGAGCTGAGGATATAGTGTAGTGGTGGAGCATTTACCTGTCATATGGGAGCCACTGTGTACGTAGAGGCAGCAGGATGGTGATTTCCAGGCCAACCTAGGCAATCTAGCCAGACTGTCATCCCAGCACTTGGGAAGTAGAGTCAGGGGGATCAGAAGTTCAGGGTAGCCTGGGCTACCTAACACCTGAATCAAATGGACAAAGGATCTGAACAGACATTTCTCCAAGAATGTAATTGACCAATAAGCACATTGAAAAGATGTTATTAACCTTTGGAAAGATGCGAGTCAAAACTGCAGGGAGATTCCATTTCATACTCTCTAAGATGACTGGAATTTTAAAAAGTAGCACAGTGTTGGTAAGGATCTGGAGAAATCACACATGCTACTGAATGTGACATGGTGCAGCAGTTTAGGAAAACAGTCCTCAAAAGATAAACACAATTGCCATGTCATTTAACCATTCTACTACAAAAGTAATTAAAATATATCTACCTTAAAATGTATGCAAACATGTTCATAGAAGTGTTATAACAATCAAAATGTGGAAACAAAAGCCCATCACCTGGTAGGTGGATAACAATGTAGTATAGCCATACAATGAAATACCACTCAGCAAATAGGAATGGACTACTGATGGGTGCTACACCATGGATAGACCTTGAAAATGTTACACTAGATGAAAGCCAGCCACAAAAGATTGCAATAATTCTTTTATTTTTGGAAGGGGGAGACAGGATCTCCCTGTAGCCCCAGCTGGCCTGGAACTCACTAAGTAGACCAGGCCGACCTCAAGCTCACAGAGATCCACCTACCTCTGCCTCCTGAGTTCTGGGATTAAAGGTGTGTGCCACCACGCCTGGCCTTTATTCATTTTTTATGAAATGTTCAGGATAGGCCATGTGGTGGTGTATAATGAGTTCAAGGCCAGTCTGAGTTACATAGAAAGACCCGTGGAGGGCAGCAAGCATAGATGACATGTTCTTACATTGACTATGGTATTGTCTATACAAATGTGACCATTAAATTGTATCTCAAGTAGATAAGTTGTGTGGTACAAGGATTAATTCTGTTTAGAAAAAAAGGAAATTGGTGATGAAAACATTTTGGGGTCTTGTGGATTGAGAGCAACAGAGATAGTGCTTGGGGCAGTACCTGCCCACTCTGAGTAGTCAGGGAGTCAGTGTTAGAAGGAAGCCATATATCATGACCCAGCTAGAGAGCTTGGGAGGATGTTGTAGTTGGTCATGTAATACTCTGACTTCCCTTGAGCCCTCTGGTTCTTTGATATTGTAATGATTTGAAAAGCATTACATGTGTTCCTCTTGCTCCAAAACTGGGATTTGCCTTTTGACTGGCTTCTTGACTCTTCTTTTTGCTCATCTTGAAACACTTCCTGACATCATCCCTTATGAGTTTTGCATCTGAGTTTCTGCTGTAACTTCGTGGTATTTTCTTTGGTAACAGGGAAGGTCTTGCAATGAGTTTCATTTTATTCCTTTGTGTTTTTAAAGGTGTAGTTGGTTTTATGGCATTACCATTAATCACAAAAATAGCTGAAAGCAGCTACTATTCATTGAGTACCACTTTGCTAATGCAGCATAGAAATTAGTTCAACAAATCTGGTCCAGAGGCAAGGAATCTGCACCAGTGTGAATCAATGCTTCCAGAAAGACTGAAAGAGCGTGGGCAGCAATCCAACTCTGGATTTATGCTTCTATCTATTTACTAGGGGAGGTGGACAAAGACTGTTATGAGAGGGGTTTTTTTTTCCTTTATTTATGTTGCTATGGCTTAGTTAATTGTTCTAATAAGGAAATACTAGGTCAGAAGTGGTGGTTCACTTCTGTAATCTCAGCATTCAGAAAGTTGAGGCAGGAAGGTCACAAGGGTTTTTTTTGTATTTTAAAAAGATCTTATTCTTTGCTTTTTCAGGACACTTTAACTTTATAGTCCAACATAGTTTTTTTCTTATCTACTATTATGAAAAAAATGTGACTTGATTCTTAATACTACTGCTGTGGTTTGAATATTACCTCTAAAAGTTGCGTTGAAATGTAATGCCGTTGGAATAGTATTAAGAAGTGGGACTTTAAAAAAAAATTTTTTTTTACGTGTATGAGTGTATTGCCTACATCATTGCACCCATGTTGTACAATGCCTGTGGAGGTCAGAAGAGAGATCCCCTGGAACTGGAGTTATGGATAGTTGTTAGCCGCCATGTCGGTGCTGGGAATTGAGCCTGGGTCCTCTGCAAGAACAGTCAGTGCTCTTAACCACTGATCCATCTCTCCATCCCCAAGAAGTAGAACTTTTGAGAGGTCAGATTGTGGATTAATGCCATTTTCTTGGAGTGAACTCTTGATAAAAGAGTTGCTCGCCCCCACCCCACCCCCATCTCACTGTGCTCAGTTGCTCTACCATATAGTTCAGCATGAAGGCCTCACCAGATACTGGCACCATGCTCTTGACTTCCCAGCCTGCAGAACTGTGAAAAAGGAGTTTCTTAGAATACCTAGTGCTAAGTGTTCTGTCATAACAGCAGAAAGGGGCTAAGACAGTCATTATGCCAAGAAGTGAAAAGTGCATTGTGGCCTAAGACGTACAATGCAAAGATGTGTGTTTTGACTCATTATCTTACGACTGGAAAAGCTTTAGAGATCACCAAGTCTTGTAGTTTTTGAGTCAAAAGGAAAATACTCATCAAAAGTTCCCATTTTAGAGAGGTGATCTATGTGTAAATATGACAGGCAACCAAGAGAAGAGCTTAGGTGTGAATAAGAAAAGGAAGGCAACCGGGCGTGATGGCGTATGCCTTTAATCCCAGCACTCGGGAGGCAGAGACAGGCAGATCTGTGAGTTCAAAGCCAGCCTGGTCTGCATAGTGAGTTCCAGGACAGCTGGGGCCACAGGGAAACCCTGTCTCAAAACGACCAAAAAAAAAAAGAAAGAAAGAAAAGGAAGGCAGGGGTGGGCCTGGCAGACATTGAAGGACATTGTAAAGGGAGACTCACTGACCAATGGAATGTGAACAGAAACAAGAAGAACCAAGTGTTCTTCTCAATTGCTAGGGCAGAATCCTGGCAGTCAGTATGTGACAACACAAAGCCTGTGTCAGCCTCCACCTGAATTACCAGGATGAGAGTTCCTGCCACTGTACATTCACACCACCTGAATGGGAAGGTTATAACTACAGGAAAATGCTAACCCACCCTGACCATATACTACTACATTTATGCATAGCCAACTCTGTCATGAATAACAATTTTAGAGTAGTAAAACTTGCAAAGTTTCCTGTCCTCATTGAAAACAACTTTTAAAACATTTAAAAAGATTGGAGCTGGAGAAGTGGCTCAGGAGTTAAGAGCACTGGCTGCTCTTGCAGAGGACCCGAGTTTGGTTCCCAGCACTCACATGGCAGCTAACAGCTGTCTGTAACTCCAGTTTCAAGGACTCCAACACCCTTTTCTGGCCTTCTCTGACATCACATACACATGGTGCACTTACATACATGCAGGCAAAACACTCATACACATAAAGTAAAAATGGTAAAGTTTTTAAAATAAAGTAAGGGTTTTTTTTTATTTAAAGCTTATTTTTTGAAGTTGAAAACCTCAAGTAATTGAACTTTTGTGAACTTGGTCAAGGTGACATGTGATGAATTGATGAAATTGGCCTCACAACTCACGGTGTTAAGGATTCAAGCCAAGATCTGTGTTTGCTACCCCCCCTGCAGTTCCCACCCTCAAGTTTCAGATGCAGCTTTCTCACCCCTCCTCATCAGAGCTGTTCTGACTCTTCCATGTCTCAAGCACAGCCGTACTGGTCATCAGGAAAGCAATGGGAATCCGGTGTGGTCGTTGACCTCCGGAAGCTCATACAGCAGCAAAGGAACCAAAGGGAAGATGGGACACTATATACAGTATTAAGATAGATACCTGTAAGTCCTCAGGTTCAGAGGAGTCAGAAGTATTTTTTCACTCAGGTAAGTTTCACATGGGATTAGAGAATATGATGGACTCATGGCAGAGAAATGGCCTGTGCAAAGCTGAGGAAACGAAGAATATGTCAAGTAAACAGCCCCAGTTTATGATGACTTGACCTGGATTTGTTTTTATTGATTTTTATTTTGTGTGTTATGTTTTGCCTACATGTATGTAAGTGTACTACATGCATGCAGTGCCCATAGAGGCCAGAAGAGGGCATTGGATCCCCTGGAACTGGAGTTACAGACAGTTGTTAGCTGCCATGTGGGTGCTAGAAACCAAACCTGGGTCCTCTGTAAGAACGGCCAATGCTCTTAACCAATGAGCCATCTCCAGCCCCATTGACCCGAAATTTTTACATGGGGAAAAAAGTGTGCACTCAGAGGAAACAGTACTTGGAATTTGTATCTTTTCCCAGGCTCACAATGTGTGGTGTGATTCTCTTTTGACACAGGCAGTGGCAGTAGAAGGCACAATTCTTATGATCATGAAGGAAACATTACACTCTACAGTGAATGGTGCTGCTGAGTCCTGAAAATCAGGAGACTGAGTAAATTTTCAACTTACAATACTTTCAACTTAGGATGGGATGTTTTATTGGGACACAACCCTATGGTAAGGTGTGGAGCATGTGTAATTGTGCCATGAGGCTATCACAGGGTACACACATGCTCAGTGAGCTGAGCTGTGTCTGTGAAGAGAAGAGGAATACATCAAGAAAAAGGAGTGACTGCAGACTGGAAGGGAGGAAATATGGATGGGGAGAGGACTCCACCTGCATTGCCCCCAATCCCACTGGCAGCAGTCTCTGTTCTAGTGCTCCTGAAGGAGAAGAATTCATAGCAGGGCACAGGTAGGGCAGGCAGGTAATCAAGGTTTATTTCAGTGAGTGCAAAAGCAAACGTGGAAAGGAAGTACAACCTCCAGAATGGAGCCA